AAATATATTGTTCTCAAAAAAAAAAATATATATATATATAAAGAGAAACATTTCGCGACTCCTCCCCCGTCTCCTTCACAATATTATATATATACGAAATATATTGTTCTCAAAAAAAAAAATATATATATATATAAAGAGAAACATTTCGCGACTCCTCCCCCGTCTCCTTCACAATATTATATATATACGAAATATATTGTTCTCAAAAAAAAAAATATATATATATATAAAGAGAAACATTTCGCGACTCCTCCCCCGTCTCCTTCACAATATTATATATATACGAAATATATTGTTCTCAAAAAAAAAAATATATATATATATAAAGAGAAACATTTCGCGACTCCTCCCCCGTCTCCTTCACAATATTATATATATACGAAATATATTGTTCTCAAAAAAAAAAATATATATATATATAAAGAGAAACATTTCGCGACTCCTCCCCCGTCTCCTTCACAATATTATATATATACGAAATATATTGTTCTCAAAAAAAATATATACATATATATATATAAAGAGAAACATTTCGCGACTCCTCCCCCGTCTCCTTCATAATATTATATATATATATGAAATATATTATTCTTAAANTATATATATATATATATAAAGAGAAACATTTCGCGACTCCTCCCCCGTCTCCTTCATAATATTATATATATATATGAAATATATTATTCTTAAAAAAATACATACATATATAATATTGTGAAGGAGATGGGGGAGGAGTCGCAAAATGTTTCTCTTATATATATATATATATTCGCTCATATATATATATATATATGAGCGAAACGTACAGCTAACCTGCTCCTTAGGACAACTTGCCCTGCTGCGGCAACCTTCGTCCCGGTCTCTTCCACGGACGCATACAGATGTACCGAGAAAAAGATTTCTTTAGATTTAGTGTATGTGTTTGACTTGGGTTTATTTGAGATAAGCAACATAATATCAAATATCATTTTGTCTAAATGAAAGTGTTGCTTCACTTGACCGCGTTGTTCGGCAGAAAAGCCAATATTACTTTGAAGAAATAATATATTTCGTTTTCAATGAAAACAAAAATTACTACATATTAAATATCCTTCCACTGGAACAAAGAAGCTCTCTAATATCTTTCTAACATGCGGTATTACTTATTTCAAAGAATTCATTGTCCGTGATAACCATCGTGATGTTCCCCATGAAAATACGAAAGAAACACGTTGTTTTACGTAAAGGGATATTTGCCGATTGAGGGAGCGAACGTTTGCTCTGTCCCCAAAGGGCAACTTGGTCTCGATCGGAGAAATTTCATCAGAAGCGAAGAAATCCCGTCTCTCTACCGTTCATTCAACGATTCCGTCACCAGTCGCGACTGTTTCGCAACTACCTCGCGGCGTCCCAGGTAAACGAGAAGATCCGCACACGTACGTCCGAGGCCACCAGCGGAACACCCCTTGGTGAACGCGATCTATTACGTGTGCGGTCGATTGTACGAAGCGCCACGCGTTATCTCGCGAGCCGTGCACGAGGCATTCATTCATAGTCTTATCGTGGCGTCGCTATCAATGCGCGCAGCTGGTAACGTGGTTACTATAAGCGACCTTGGAGCGCCCGACATCACCACCGTCGTCGTCGTCGTGGTGTGTCGTCGTCTCGTCGCCGCCTTGAATGCACGGGAGAAAGGCGCGGTAGAGAGAATTCATCAAGCGGGTGAAACACTCGTCGTCCTGCTGCCTGCCTCACATTCGAGCCCACGTATTCCTGCCTGCGTATTCTCGCTCTCACCCTCGCGCCGCCTCGCGCTAACAATGTTGCCCGCGCGTTTTCGCTGAATCCTCCGGAGAGGCACGTAGGAATCGATAACGCGCGCGCGCCACGCAGGATGTTTCTCTACCTCGCGCTCCTTCGTTCTCCATCTTCTCGCCTCCGCCTGCGAGATCGAGGGGAGGAGGATGAGCGGACTCTCCTTCCCCCGGGACGTCGTGCTTCTCCCCTTCGCAGAACGAAATAACTAAAGATAGACCCCGCGATCGCCGACGGAGGCATCTTCGCCAATTATCGCACGCGCGATCCTTGTGTACTCGTCGAACGATGTAGCCGGCGATTATCGATCGTTACGGCCGCGCATTAGCCCCCTTTGCTCGACTCCCGATGCGTCACCGATGTCCATGCGGATGTCCCCCGGGTGAGCGTCGCCGTTGCTGACAACCGGTATTCGCGATCCGCTGGATTTCCTCTCGCGGGATGTGATTCCTCGATTCTCGCGCGCCGTTTCTTGTCTCCTGAAATTAAATCGCCACGGCAACCGGAAGTTTCCCAGGTGGCTCCTTCGCCGATGGAATAATCTTTCTCTTCTCTCTTTGGTTTTTTGTTTTTCATTCAGTCGGGAAATTTGGCGGAGCAGGGGAAGAGGCGGCGAGTACGCGTAAAAGCGGACCGATGGTTAAATTAATATCC